GGTAGATATATATTTAAGGTCACCATAGAACCCCTAAATGAGGATATTTAGGATGGCTGATCCACACAATTTTAGGCAACATTGGGCAAGTGAATAATTAGGTTCTCTTAGGAAAAGAACAATTCTGGGACAGAATACCCTGATTTTGCACATGTAAGAGCTAGTCCCTTTCTCATTTCTGCATGAAACACTTTCTCTAGTTACTATTAGCCACTACAAATGCACGCAGGGTTTTCCTATTAATGCTGCTAAATTTTCCAAGTGTCATTTTCCGAAAGTCTGAGGAACCTCCCACTGCTTCCCACTGTGATTTACAGTTGGAGGTAACACCACCCAAGAGCCTGGCCAGAGCTTTGAAATTAAATTAGAAGATGCTCTAAGCTGTGCTCAGAAACATCGAGAAAGAAGATTTGACTCAGACCATGTGAGTCACAGTTGGTCTCCCGCTCTCCCCTTGCTGCCGATGGAAGGAAATTACAGCAGCCATGGCACTGGCCCAGCTGCACAGGCTAGAGGGTGGGGAACCAAAGCAAAACCCACTCCTTCTCTGTTAACCCTCTACCTTGAGTTCATCCCCCCTCCATTCAATTGGACTCAAGCTGCTGCTGATCAGACTTTCTGATTCTTTTTTGAGATCCTCATCATCACTTTCAAGCTGCTGCAAGAGTCCAGTGCTGTACACAGTTATCCTTGCATTTGTGCTCTAGCAAGAAGAGATTGAGATGAGAGACAAGTCCATCGATCCACAGCCATTTCCAACGGACGTGAAAATGCACATTCCCTCCTCTTTGATCTGTGTGGCTAATGGTTAGAAGCAGCTATTGATTGACTTCTTGAGCTGAAGCTTGAGGTAACCAGGACAGGAAGATTAAGACTAATTTTCATGTATCTTTGTTTTCCCTTTTTGTGGCATACAGCTCAAAACGAAAGTCAGCCCAAGGTGTTTCTGTGCAAGCTGCAGCAGCGTGCAATGACCTGCCTCAGTTTCTTTAGTCTTGTAATGCAATAACAAGTATAGCAATGACAGCAGGGCAGTAAGATCCCAGGCTGCAGCAAGCGAGGATTTGCTCAAACAACCACGGGCACAGAAATAAAGGAAAGAAGCTGCTTACCCTTAGAAAGCCTCAGGTAGGCAGGGATCCCCAGCAAGATATCCTTGCCTCCACTGCTAACCCTTAAATAAGGCCTGGGAAGGGGTAGATCTATCCCTTCTAGTCACTATCCCTTCTAGTCATTGCATGCACCTGAGTTCCCCTGGGTTGCCCCTGCCTTCCCACCAGGTGCTCAATCACTGCTTCAGGCTGTGACTTAGCATTTCTGCTACAGGTCTTAAGTGAGAAAGTTAAAAAATAAAAATAAAAACTGCTTACACTTGACATTTACAGGAGCCTGCATCACCCTCAAAGCACATCTAGTATGGGTGATCTCCTGTGATTTCCACAAGCCTGCTGTGGAAGCACCATTTATAGCAGAAGTAGCAAAGCCTTTTCTTTAAAGATACAAAGGGACACTAACAATCATTCAAACC